CCATCTTTAGTTTTCTAAGGAAATTCTATACCATTTTCTACAGTGGCTGCACCATTCTGCATTCCCACCAACAGTGTATGAGGGTTCTCTTTTCTCCACAACCTCTCTAGCACTTGTTGTTTGTTGATTTGGTTATGATGGCCATTCTGATTGGTGCGAAGTGCTATCTCATTTATGGTTTTAATTTGCATCTCTCTGATGGTTAATGATGCTGACCATCCTTTTATATGTCTCTGGGGCCTCTCTCTTTCCTCCTTGGAGAAGTGTCTGTTCAGGCCCTTGGCCCATTTTGTAATTTGATTGTTTGTCTTCCTGGTGTTGAGTCATCTGAGTTCTTTATATATCTTGGAGATCAAACCCTTGTCCAAGGCAAATATGTTCTCCCATATGATTGGTTCCCTTTTCATTTTGCTGATGTTTTCTTTAGCCATGCAGAAGGTTTTTAATTTGATGTTTTAGTCCCATTTGTTTATTCTTTCCTTTATATCCCTTGCCCTAGGAGGCATGTCAGTGAAGATGTTGATATGTGGGATATCTGACATATTACTGCCTATGTTTTCCTCTAGGACTTTTATAGTGTGATGACTTACATTTAAGTCTTTTGTCCATCTTGAATATATTTTGGTGTATGGTGTAAGCTGGTGGTCTAGTCTCATTTTTTGCACATACCTGTCCAGTTTTCCTATTTTTTATGACATGAGATAGAAATTTCCTTGGCTGGCTGGTGTAGTAGGCCTCAGTAAATATTTATCATCCTCTACATTTTAAAAATGGCTTTCCATCAGATTCTGAGGAAGAATATTCAAATTAATAAGCAAATAAGAATTTTTTTGATTACCTACAGTTTTATATATACAAGGTCTATCTGGAAAAAGCTAGCTATTGCTAATATAATGAGAACAATTTGCATGACATTGATATAACCTGGCAGCTAAGGAGAGTGGACTAGAATGCCCATGCATGAACATTAGTGACTTCACTGTACTAGTCAGTGGGGGCAGTAAATGCCACTGAGTAAGCATGTGTACTGTGTGGCTGTCACATTCAAAATGACTGAGTAAGTAAAGCAATGAATCTGCATCACATTTTGTGTTAAGCTCGAACATTTCTCCACAGAAACAACTTGGGTGATTCAGAAGGCCGCAGCTATGGGCAGCTTGGTATTGGAAACTTCATCACGACAACACACCCACTCATGCTTCACATCTAGTGTAGAGATTTTTGGTGAAACATCAAATCACCCAGGTGACTCAGCCTCCACTTTAGCCCACCCTGTGACTCCTGGCTTCTCCCAAAACTAAAATAACTTTTGAAAGGGAAGAGATTTCAGATGGTCCATGAGATTCAGGAAAATATGACGGGGCAGCTGATGGTGACTGGGAGAACTGTGTGAGGTCCCAAGGTGCCTACTTTGAAGGGGACTGAGGAGTCATTGTCCTATATACAATGTTTCTTGTATCTTCTTCAATAAATGTCTCCATTTTTCATATTACATGGCTGGATGCCTTCTGGACAAACTTTGTGCATTAAAACACTCCCATTTCCCAACTTCATGTGAGTGAGAAATTAATATATTTTCTCCCAAAAAACAGACTTTATCTCCACAGTAAATACTGCACTCTTACTGAACATAGAAGAAATGGAGTAATATCTAGAAAAACCTCCAAGGCACAATTTGGATTCACACGTTTGAGAAACTGTCTATTTGGATATGATGAAATGATTGCTTTTGATCTAATGTACCAGGTTATTTTATTGGTACAGAGTCTAATTTACTGTTGCTTCTAAATAGCATCTCAAATATGACCTGTTAGCCCCGACTCTTGTCTTTATTTGTATTTTGGAAATCAATGATTTGAACCATGTGCCTTGAAATCAAACCATGGAGGTTCAGAATGTTAACTGCACCTTGTTTTCAGATGTCACCATGGGCAAGTTACTTAACTTCTGTAAGCTTCAGATTCCTCACCTGCAAATGGTAAGGGTGACCCCATATCATGGATGTGTTGCACGTGAATGATGTAATGCACTCAGACTCCTTAGTTCAGATGTGAGTATACATAGCATGCACTCTGTGGTGGCTGTGGTTATTAATAATTTTCCTAATTCATGACTGTCATGCTGTGCTGCTGATCTCAATACCTACCATTCTGTTCTCCTTCATGTCCTTTATTTTTCATACTCCCCCCACCCCTGTCCTCACCTTGAAACCTCACCTTTAAATTATAATATTGATAATTTGCTGCCATCTGCAGGCTAACATGGAAAAAGATCATGTAATTATGTGCTAACTTTTCTTAGATTTTGAATGTAAAATATCAAGGTCATTTTGGAGATCCTGAAGCCAATTGTTGGTAACCCCATAACCCCATTTTCTAGAACATTGTTTTCCCCTGATACTCTAACTAAATACTTGAATAGTATTAGAATTCCCTTCGATTTTTTTTGGAATTGGGCAGCTATGCATAAAGCATTTTTAGTAGTCAGATACTTCATTTCCCTTAAGTAGGTTTGCAAAATGCTGTTTATTAAAAAGTTTGAAAGAGCCTTTGCTGTTTATGGCATGGTTTAACATCTGAATTTTGGGTTTTGGGGGTGGTGTCTTGTTCTAGTTGGAGAATTTGAAAGGTCTGAACAAAACATTAGAAATAAATACTGTTTATAAGGAACCATATCGTGGTTCTTCCCATCTTGCCTGTAAGATTGCTACGTATATGCTTGTCTCCCATTTTCAATCTCATACTCATTTGTAACAGAACCTGGTGTCAAGATGAATTTGCAAACACACATGGACCCCCCTGCCCTTAATGGTTTCTAACAGTACATCTTATGGCACCTTGCCCACAGTTTGAATTATCTGGAGTTGGAGTCCAAGATGCCACTGCCAGATAGCAGGGGATGAGCCCAGTAAGGTCTGTGTGCTAAACCACAGGGTTGAATTTTGTTCTGAAAACCGTAGCAGGCAACTAAAGGATTTTAAGCTTGGGAATGGCGTGATCGAATTCCTATCACAGAAATACTCATATTACTCAGGCAGCCTGTTCGCTGCTGTTTCAGAGGAAACCTATAGGAGCAATTATTGTTTGAGCTGTACCTGTCCGGTGTTGTCTCTGCAGGAGAGGGCTTAGGCCTGGTCTGTTTGCCACTCCAGTTTGTGGTTTCAAATAGTTTTATTTGTATTACTTTGATGCCTTTAACAATTCTGTTCATACTATTCAGGCAAACACTATTTTGATACTGTTATGCTAGTGATTAATGTTATTATAATTGCTAACTACCATTATACAGTTAATATACAATAGGCTGTGTAGCAACTGTCTTTGTACTGTTTACAAGATTTTTTGTCCTCGATTTGGCCACTCCTCTTCAGTTGGTCATGGTACTGGCTTGTTGAACAGTGCAGTATTCCTTCTTCCTCTCTGCCTGGCTGCTAAGTCTGTCATGTACTACTGGCATCTTGCTTTGGGCAGGTGCCACATAGCTGCTGTGGCTGAACTAGCATTTCTCAGAAATAGACGTGGGGTTGGGGTGGAGTAGGGAACAACCATGATGGCATGAAGACAAGGAGACCTTCTCCTGGTCCCCTATATAAAAAAATCTGCTGCTGTGGGAGACTACGAGAACACAAACCTGAGACGTGGAAATGGACGGACTGAAAGGCTGACAAGGGTGTAGAATTTAAGGGGCGCCCGGAAGCTCAGTTGTCAAGATAAAAAATATATTAATGTGATTAAAGAAACACATGATGAATGATATACTAAAATTTTAAATTAAGATCAGAGACAATTACAAAAGTGTTTTTGAGCCTGCAGCAAAAGAAAAAATCAGCACTAGTGAGCCTGTCATTTTTGATTTGGGTATTTTGTTCATCTTGGATTCTTCAAATTAACTTTGATTTTTACAAATGATTGCATTAAAATATTTAAACTATTCATACTGAGTTTTTGGTGCCCTCTTAAATTTTGCACCCTGGGTGTAGGTGCCTCACTGGCTTCACCCTCACCCTGTGCATGGCTGGATGGACAAGAGGAGAGGACAAAGATGCTGCGAGGCAGAGCTTTCCTGGTGTTTTCTAGAAATATTGGAAATACTGAGTTCTTCCTGATGGACCAGCAGACACCGGCTCTGTTCCAGGGTGATGGACACCATCGCGATTGATCTTAAATAATGTGAAAAGCCTTTATATGGGTGTTGGTCTTTTCTCTGAATATACACATTAGGAATTTTTAAGGGGTAATATATATATATATATATATACACACACACACACACACACACACACGCATATATATGTAAATAGGTATATAGGATGGGACAAAAGTAGGTTTATAGTAGTTTGTATGGAAAACAATACAATAATAATACTACAAGAATAAACTATGTTTTATGTATTCAAAACCATAAACCTCCTTTTGTTTTTTGCTCTACCCTGTGTGTGTGTGTGTGTGTGTGTGTGCGCTCATATTTAAAAAGCTATACGAAGGCATTTCTTAAATCCACTAACTAATGGAAAGAAATAGAATAAAACTTATTTAGGCACTGAGTCTGCCCAGCATTTCTTCTTTGAGATTGTTCACTGTTGGATCTGACAACCAGAGGAAACTAAAGATGTTTAGAGCCCCCTTCCCTGCCTTGCTTCCTGTGAATTACTAGTCTTGTTGATTCACATTCGAAGCCTTGTCAGGATCTCATTCTTGGCCTCTTCAATCTTCTGCTTTGCAGTATGTATATCATGACTATGGACACAAATGGAAGCTGAGTAAATGCTGTATTTTTTAAATTTGTGCTTTGGCAAAGTCTAAGCTGGTGGATTTTAGTGGTTAGCGCCAACTTTTCTGTGGTGTTTTGTTGACAATCTAGGTAGTTTGGAAGTGCAGCATATGATGTATGGATCTAACTTCATTGGCTTGATTCTGGCTGGGGCAGTGGAAGAGCATAAAGGAAAATGGTATGTAGCTTTCATATCTTACAGACACTTTTTTTTTGTAACCCTCATCAAGGTCTACTGAGAACAGACCCAGTACCTGAGGCCAGAGAAGATGCTGCTGCTACAATCAACGCCACAGAGACCCTGTCAGAGGAGGAGCAAGAGGAGCTAAGGAGAGAGCTTGCAAAGGTAAGGGAGCATTCCTTCTACAGTCTTAAGTGTTTTCACTTAAGATATATTGTTGTTTGTTTTTCTTAAGCACATGGTAATATCTTATAGTCAGTTCCAGGGAGAGAAAGCAATGTTTGTTCATTACCTGTCCTAGATTAGGGGAGAGGAAATGGAAGAGATGCTACTTTGTTTTTACCTGAGAAAAGGTATGTATGGGTAAAGTGGGTCTGGCAAGTAGAGTGAAAAGTAGGAAATGGACCAGATGGGTGCTGGTGAATGTCTCTCAGGGGCCTTCCTATGTTGACTACACTTTGCTTTTTGTCTGCAACAATGACTTTGTTCTATTCTTGTCTATGTTTTGGATGTAGGTGTCTGAACCTTATCTTCCTTTCTTATTCAAAATTAACCATCATAAACTATATAATTCAGTGGTGTTTAGCATTCGTAATGTGCAACTGTCATTTCTCTCTAGTTCCAAAACATTGTCAGCAACCCCTGAAGAGACATCATGTATTCATCAAGCGGGTATCCCCTAGTCTTTCCTCTCTCAGCCCCTGCTAATCTGTTTCTATGGATTGACCTATTCTGGATATTTCATATAAATAAAATTTTACAACACGTGATGTTTTTATCTGGTTTATTTCACTTAGAGTGTTTGTGAGGTTCATCCTCATGTGGTATATGTTTGTACTTCACTGCTTTTTATGGCTGAATAATATTCCATTGTTGGTATCTACCGTGTTTTGTTTATCCATTTATCCATTGATGGACATTTGGGTGGTTTCCACCTTTTGACTCCTGTAGATGCTGAGGAATATTTGCATAAAAGGAGTTATTTAAATACTTGTTTTCAACTCCTTTAGCTATATACTTACAAATGAATATGTTGTGTCAATATGGTAATTCTGTATGACTTTTGGGGGAAACTGTCAAAGCTGTTTTTCATAGCAGAGACACCATTTTACATGCCCATCAGCAATTTCTATACATCTCTACTGCCAACAGTTCCTATTTTCTGTCTTTTTGGTTATAATCACCCTAGTAAGGATCAAGTGATATCTCATTGTGGTTTTGATTCGTATTATAGTTCCCTAGTGACCCAAAAAATGGAATTATCTTCTAGAGGGCAGGCCCCTTGTAGTACCGACTTCCCCTGCTATGTGAGTGTTTGAGGAACCCATCTGTATCAGTGTACCAGCTGGCATTGTTGTGAGAGGCTGCATTTGGCCTCAGTGAATTCTTTTTGAAGATTCTTTCAACACATTTGCCTGTTTCATGATGGATGATTTATGAAAGCACCTGCCCAAACTGCACTGAGTGTTCCACAGTTTTTGACCAAAAACAACGTGACCCCTGGGCACCACCCTCCCTATTCACCCAATCTCTTTTTTTTCTTGTTCTCCTGAATGAAGAAGTCCTCCAATGGAAGGGTTTTGCTGATGTGGAAGAGGCAAAACTAAAAGCAAAAGCACTATGAGGCATTAAAATTCATGAGTTTAAAAACTGTTTTGAGCAGTGGAAAAAAATCTCAATAGGTGTATTGCATCAAATGGAGAGTACTTTGGAGGTGACTGAAATTTAAAGATGTAAGAATAAATACACAAATTTTAAATAAATAAATTTCAGTTTTTTGTTCCTTCTCTTGTATTGAGCATCTTTTCATAGAAAAGATGTTTGTTACCTTTTGTTACTTTTTATAGAAAAGTCTATTCAAATCCTTTGCCCAGTTTTTCCAAATTGGGTGGGTTTTTTTTTTTTTTTTGGTCTTTTTGTTTTCCTTATGTGATTTGCAAGTGTTTGATTTTTAGATGTTTTCTTCCATTCCATATGTAGACTTTCTCCATGTGTCTTAATGCACAAAAGTTTTACATTTTGATGAAGTCCAATTTATTTTTTCTTTAATTGCTTGTGCTTTTGGTGTTATAGCCAAGCACCCATTTCCAAAACTTAGATTATGAAGATTTATCCCTGTGTTTTCTTCTAAGATTTTTATCTCTTCCATTTAAGCCTTTGATTTATTTTGAGTTAATCTTTGTATGTGGTTTGTGGTAGAGATTCAGCTTCATTCTTTTGCATGTAAATATTTAGTTTCCCCTGAACCATTGGTTGAAGAAACTATCCTCAATGAATGCCCTAAGCATCTTTGTCAAAAATCAATTGACTGTCAATGTAAGGGTGTATTTCTGGACTCTCCTTTTTAATGCAGTCATCTTTATGTCTGTCCTTTTGAGGGTACCACAGTGTTTTAATTTCTATAGCTTTATAATAAGTTTTGAAATTGGAAAGTGTAGGTTACTCACCTCTTTTTATTTTTCAAAGTTGTTACTTAGGGTCCCTGCAATTCTATATTAATTTTAAAGTCTACTTTTCTACCCCCCAAAAATGTCATTGGAATTTTGATGGGGCTTTTATTACATCTATAGATTGGGAAGAGTATTGCCTTCTTAACAGTATTAAGTCTTCCAACCCATGAACATGGAATGTCTTTCCATTTATTTAGGTCTTCTTTAATTTCTCTTACCAGTGTTTTGAGTTTTTAGTGTATAAATCTGATACCTTTGTGCTTACATTTATTCCCAAGTGTTTTCTTCTTTCTGATGTGATTATAAATGGAATTTTCTTAATTTCCATTTCAGTTTTTTCATTGCTATTGTACAGAAATACAGCTGCATTTTGCATGTTAATCTTGTGTCCCATAGCTTTGCTGAAGTGTTTTTTCAGCTCTAGTAGATTTTTTGTGGATTATTTAGAATATTCTGTATATAAAATCATATCATCTTTGTTAAAGGTAATTTTACTCTTCACTTCAGATGTCTTTTATTTATTTTTCTTGCCTATTGCTTCGGCTAAAACTTCTAGTATGATGTTGAATAGTAGTGGTGAACATGGGCATCCCTGTCTTACTCTGAATCTTATGGACAAAGCTTTTAGTCTTTCATCATTGAGTGTGACATTATCTCTCAGCTTTTTATAAATGCACTTATTCATTTGAGGAAGTTTCCTTATATGCCTAATTTGTTCACTGTTTTTATTGTGAAAGGGTGTTGGATTTTATTGTGAAAGGGTGTCACATGCTTTTCTGCACTGATTAAAATGATCATGTACTTTTTCTTTTTAATTCAGTTAATGTGGTATATTATACTGATTAATTTTTAAATATATTTTATTGCTTATGCTATTACAGCTGTCCAAATTTTTCCTACTTGGCCCTCTTCTGCAAGGTACCCTCCTTCCCTCCAGCAGTTCCCCCACATAATTCATGTCCATGGATCTTTGGCTTCTCCATTTCCTATAGTATTCTTAATATCCCCCTGTCTATTTTGTACTACCAATTTGTGGTCCTTAATCCCTGCACTTTTCCCCCTGTTCTTCCTGTTCCCTCTCCGCATTGATAACTCTCCAAATGATCTCCATATCATATCTATGGTGCTGTTCCTGTTCTGGGTGTTTGCTCAGTGTGTTTTCTAGATTCAGGTTTTGATAGTTGCCATTTTAATGTTCATATTTTTTATCTTTTTCTCAAATAAGTCCCTTTAACTTTTCATATAATAAGGGCTTGGTGATGATGAACTCCTTGAGCTTTACCTTGTCTGGGAAGCATTTTAGCTGTCCTTCAATTCTGAATGATAGTTTTGCTGGATAGAGGAATCTTGGTTGTAAGACCTTGCTTTTCATGACTTTGAATATTTATTGCTAGTCCCTTCTTGCCCATGAAGTTTCTTTTGAGAAATCAGCTGACAGTCTAACGGGAACTCCTTTGCAGGTAATTCTCTTCTTTTCTCTTGCTGCTTTCAAGATTCTCTTTCTCTTTAACCTTTGGCATTTTAATTATGATGTGCCTTGGTTTGGTACTCTTTGTGTTCAACTTGTTTGGGATTCTCTGTGCTTCCTGAACTTATTTCTCTATTTTTTTCACCAAATTAGGGAAGTTTTCTTTCATTGTTTTTTCAAGTAAGTTTTCAATTTCATGCTCTTTCTCTCCTCCTTCTGGAACCCCTGTGATTCCAATGTTGGTACACTTTGAGATGTCCCAGAAGCTTCATAGACTATCCTCGTTTTATTGAATTTTTTTCTTCTCATTGTTCTGATTGAATGTTTTTTTCTTCCTTGTGTTTCAAATCATCCATTTGAAACTTGGCTTCATCCCCTCCACTGTAGCTTTTTCTTTATTTCACTTACTGTAACTTTCATTTCTGCCTGGGTCTTTTTGGCTTTTACTCTTTTTCTTTTTAAACTTTGTTGTTCAAGTACAGTTTTCTGCCTTTTACCCCCATCCCAGCCCATCCTCCCAGCCCTCCCCACCTCCTTCTCATTTCGATCCCCCCCCCACTTGTTATTGTCCATGTGTCTTTTATACTTGTTCCTGCAAACCCTTCCCCTTTTCCCCTGAAATTCCCTCCCCTCTTCCCTCCGGTCACTGGCAGCCTGTTCTCAATTTCAGTATCTTTGGTTATATTTTGCTTGTTTGTTTGTTTTGTTGTTTAGGTTCCTGTTAAAGGTGAGATCATATGGTATTTGTCTTACACTGCCTGGCTTATTTCGCTTAGCATGATGCTTTCCAGTTCCATCCATGCTGTCCCAAAGGGTAGGAGCTCCTTCTTTCTTTCTGCTGCATAGAATTCCATTGTGTAAATGTAAACCATGGTTTTTTGATCCATTCATTTACTGATGGGCATCTAGGTTGCTTCCAACACTTGGCTATTGTAAATTGTGCTGCTATGAACATTGGGGTGCATAGGTTCTTTTGGACTGGTGTTTCAGGGTTCTTAGAATATAATCCTAGCAGTGGAATTGCTGGATCAAAAGGCAGATCCATTTTTAGTTTTCTGAGAAAATTCCATACTGTTTTCCATAGTGGTTGTATCAACCTGCAATCCCACAAGCAGTGCACTAGCGTTCTCTTTTCTCTACAACCTCTCTAACACTTGTTGTTTGTTGCTTTGTTTATGATGGCCATTCTGGCTGGTATGAAGTGGTATCTCATTGTGGTTTTAATTTGCATCTCTCTGATAGCTAGC